ACTCATAATAGGTAATAGGTTAAATGCCTGATCTCTCAATTTTAGAATTTTGTATAGTTTTTGTTCTTCAATTTTTATGCTTTTTCTTAATTCATTAACTATAAAAGATATATTTTTTAAGTTATTCTATCAGTTAATTTATTAAATCTATTCGTACATATATATTTTAGTTCTTAAAATTTTAAGTTGATGAATAAAAACTATATAAAATTTTAAAGTTGAAGGATTAAAAGTATACATATATAAATAAATTTAATAAACTAATGGAATAAAAAAATATTTTTTTATAATTGAATGACAAAAAAATAAAAATTGTATAAAACCTTAAAATAGAGGGACTAAATTAAAATTTAACCTAAACAATAAAAACTAAAATCGGTGTTAATCATAGTCTAATTTTTATTTATATATATTTTTTAACATAAAAATTTTTTTTTGTGAATATTTTTGTTATGAGACCGGCTCGAATCGTTATCTTAAGAGAAGGAAATATAAACTTTACAAACGTGGCTAAAGTCACTTGACCCGAAAAACGAGGCTCTTTTAACATAAAAAATTAGGAAAAAAGATGAAAAGTTTTAAATAAGTAATAAAAGTAGCACTTTTAATGAAATTATATTAAATTATAAAAAAAAATTATTAAATAGAAAAAGACGACCTCCAATATTTAAGAGGTTACTTTTTTTTCTTTTCTATAAATATATTATAAAAGAATAAAGGTGAGGGGCACACAATAGCTAGCACCTTAACAACTAGGCCCTAGTTTTTCGTTGACGTATGAGATGGAATAATAAACAATATTGTATGTCACGCGATAAAGACAAGTTACAAGACATTGGTTTAAGCAAATTAAAGTAGGACAGCATTGTCTTTAACTCAGAAGCCAATTAAATTAAATATCAAGAAAAATTAGCAGTTTCACCAAAAAAAAAAAGAGAAGAAAATATAACAAGTCATTCATGATTCTATGAATCTCAACTTTGGTTTGCCATGTGGGCCTTTTTTTAATTTGTGGGTCAATACCTAATCCTAACCATATTAGGATGTTTCAACATACCACCTCAAAACTGAAAGCTACAGACTTTATGAGTACTT